GAGATATTTCCACCTCAAACTCCTGGGCTCAAGGGATGTTTCCACCTAGTCAAGTAGCTAAGATTACAGGTGCATGTCACACTGCCCAGCTAATTTTATAACTTTTTGTAGAGATGAGATCTTGCTATGTTGCGTGGGCTGGTCTTGAACTCCTGGGCTCAAGTGATCCTCTCACCTCAGACTCCGAAAGGGTTGGGAATATAGCCATGAGCCACCACACCGGGCCTGACAATTAATATTTTTATTTGGAATCACGTACAGTGGTGGAGGTGGGAGGCTATAATCTTTCAGTCATTAAAACCCCTAGCAGTCTTAATTCAGTCTGCTAGATTTGATAGAAATCAGAGGATAAGAGAGTAGACCTCTGGGGCAGGAGGCATTGGAAGAAGGAGAAGCCTACTCTCCTTATACATTTCTAGTAGTAATACCTTTGTAACTCTAGATACAGCCTCAGGCATCCCTTTTGATTTTTCCCCTTATTCGTCCCCTATATTCAACTTTATCTTTACTTTGAAAATATAATCTGGATTTTGTCTTAATCTCTTCCCTTTTCTATTATTGTCTAACCTAAACCTTTATCATGCCACTTCAGGATTCTTTAAACAATTTTCTCATCTGATCTTCCTGACAACAGTTAATCCCCTGGCTCTTGTCTAATGAATCATTCTATAATACTTTCATCATATGACTCGGTGCTTGCAAATCTAAAAAAGAATCTCCATGGCCGGGCGCGGTGGCTCACGCCTATAATCCCAGCACTTTGAGAAGCCGAGGCGGGTGGATCACGAGGTCAAGAGATTGAGACCATCCTGCTCAACAAGGTGAAACCCCGTCTCTACTAAAAATACAAAAATTAGCTGGGCATGGTGGCGCGCGCCTGTAGAACAAAAATCTCCGTTGCTTAGTGACTTATCCAAACTTTAAACTTTCAGTCTGAGTTTTTTTGTTGTTTTTTGTTTTTTTTAGACTGAGTTTCGCTGTTGTTACCCAGACTGGAGTGCAATGGCGCCATCTCGGCTCACCGCAACTTCCGCCTCCTGGGTTCAGGCAATTCTCCTGCCTCACCTTCCCGATTAGCTGGGATTACAGGCGCGCGCCACCATGCCCAGCTAATGTTTTGTATTTGTAGTAGAGATGGGGTTTCACCTTGTTGACCAGGATTGTCTCGATCCGTTGACCTCGTGATCCACCCGCCTCAGCCTCCCAAAGTGCTGGGATTATAGGCGTGAGCCAACGCGCCCGGCCAGTCTGACTTTTAAAGTTCCTAAAAGTTTTATACCACCTGAATTATTGAATATGCTTTCTCTTGCTTCTTCACACGGTTATAATCAGACAGGTCTTTGCTTTTCTTTCCTCCTTGCTCATGTTGTTATTCTCCCACTACACCAAAGATTGTTGTATTTTGGTGTCCAGAGTAAGTTTTACCTTTTGGTAATATTTCTCAGAATTTTGGGGGGAACCATCAGACTCTTACTTTGAGTCCATAAATTTGGATATGGCTGACTCCACAGCCAGCTCTCGGGTAGCATGTGGCCAAACCTGGACAATCAGAGCACCTCAGTCCCTTGGTTACAGCACTTGAGTCAATGAAGGGCACAAGATCCAACCTAGTTCAATCAGAGCCCTAGAACTTCTGTTAGAATTTTTAGAAAAGAATAGTGTTTGGGAAAGCCAAGAAATAGCAAGTGACAAGTTCCTGATAATGATATGATATGAGTCACTAGTTCTATCAGGCACAGATAGATCTTGCCATGTTGAATTGGTTTGCAAAGAGTACTCCAATTCAAACCAGTCTGAACTGGTTTGCAAAGAGTACTCCTTTGCTTCTTCCAGTTAAATTGCAAAGAGTAACTCTTTGCTTCTTCGAGTTAAATTCCCTCTTCGAGATCTAGCTGTCATGCCACTATCAAACTGTTCTTTCCTTTCTTTATCCCATTACACGCTACTTAATCTGTACTGCTTTAAACACTAAATTGTCTTAACTATTTAACGTTTTCTAGTTTTGCTTTCCCAATGTGCCATAAGTTTACTGAGAGCTTGAACCATGAATCACATTTCTCTTAGTTTAAGAATGTTTCACACTTAAGATGCAGATTGATAAATTCTTAAGATAAGTTACTTTTATTTAAGAAATCAGCTGTAAGAATCTCAAAAACATGTGAAAACTGGCCAAATTATTGCTAATCAGGACCCAGATATTTAGGTAAATCTGTCCCATCTTCCTGATTTTAAAAGAAACACATTACGAAAGAAGGGGAAAATGATACCTCTTGGGCCTTTGGAGGGACTCAGTAACAGCTGGTTGTTTTAAAATGTAGATGCTATTATTGAGGTACGGTGAGGCCAGCAGATCATGAGATGACTGCCATTGAAGAGATAGCTTGTTACAGTTCCCCAAAGGGAGGGGGCACAACATGACACACAGGGCCACACAGGGAAGCACCAGTGTTGGTGAGGAGACAAAAGAAGCAAGAGGAAACCATGGACATGAGCCTTTATCATAGTTTCTACAGGAAAGAGAAGGGGAAGGGAAGGTAGAGGAGGGGCAAGGCAAGGAAAGAAAGGGAGCAAGGGAAGGAAAGGAAGGGAGCAAGAAAAAAAAAAGGAAAGGAAAAACAAGGAAAGGAACAAGGAAAGAAAAAAGACAAGGCAAGGCAGGCATAGGATTGGTTAGTTTTAATAATTTCAGCTGTCTTTGGGGTCGTAGGGGCTGTCCTGAGTTGCCTGGCACCTGGCCCTAGCTTGACTAGGGCAGGGGAATGTTGGCTTGTATATGAGTTAGATAAAGGAGGTGATTGGGGGATAAGAGCTCTGCACTGTTCAGTTCACAAATGAAAGGCACAGAGGAGTTGTTGACTATCTCTAGGAGCTAGCTAGCCCTGTGAGAGTCAGTCTCTCCCTGGCCAGTGAGGCTGCAGATGCCAGGCCATCAAGAATACCAAATATAAGAAGATATCTTTAGTATTCTTCCTTCTTTCCCACTGGGCTCAGAAGAGATTAAACAGTAAAACAAAGAAGAAACAGACAGTGGCCAAAATGTCCGCTTAGTCACAGGCAATGAAGCTACACTGGAAGAGATATGTTAATGTGAGAGTAACATCAGCCTCCTAACTCTGTCCAGAAATAGTCAGACTTACTCACATCATGATAGGCAGCACTAAATGAGGACAACTTTTCTAACTAGGAAGAGTTTTATGGATTGAGTAAAGAGAAGAAATTGTGCTTGAGGCTGGGCGCGATGGCTCACACCTGTAATCCCAGCACTTTGGAAGGCCGAGGCGGGTGGGTCACGAGGTCAAGAGATCAAGACCATCCTGCTCAACATGGTGAAACCCTGTCTCTACTAAAAATACAAAAAAAATTAGCTGGGCATGGTAGCGTGTGCCTGTAATCCCAGCTACTCAGGAGGCTGAGGAAGGAGAATTGCCTGAACCCAGGAGGAGGAGGCTGCGGTGAGCCGAGATCGCGCCATTGCACTCCAGCCTGGGTAACAAGAGTGAAACTCTGTCTCAAAAAAAAAAAAAAAAGAAATTGTGCTTGATGTTAACAAACATAATCCCAAGAGGAAAAAAAAGAAAGGTCAGGGGCTGAGCCAAGCAAGTCCAGTTTATTCTTTCCCAATGTACCAATCAGACAACTCGCTCTACCTTTCCCAAACAGAATGAGTAAAGAATAGAGGGAGTCCCCTGTCTCTACTAAAAATACAAAAAATTAGCTGGGCATGGTGGCGCGTGCCTGTAGTCCCAGCTACTCGGGAGGCTGAGGCAGGAGAATTGTTTGAACTCAGGAAGTGGAGGTTGCGGTGAGCCAAGATCACGCCATTGCACGCCAGCCTGGGTAACAAGAGCGAAAACTCCGTCTCAAAAAAAAAAAAAAAAAAGAATAGAGGGAGTCAAGGACTATTGCTTGACTGACTCCCTTTCTGTAGGTGGAAACCTCAAACACAAGAAAGAAACGTCACGTCCCAGCCTCCCTCCCAAGAAACATTGACTTTTCTAGAGATTTTAGGAAGATAAAATTCTGACACTTTCCTAGCCATGGTTCCAACTTCAAGGTTTTACATTTTAAATCTAGAGTTTTAGGTAATCGATGTTCAGAGGAAGAAACGATTCAACCCACATAAGGGGTTGTAGGTGGGTGCCTACCCTACAAAATTTAGGGTGAACTTTCAGACAGACACTCTGGTACTTGGGAAATATCCTGCTATGGCTCTTGGTTGTATACTCTCCTACTACACTTTTTTTGAAAGAGCCAGGGGAGGGGCCAATAGGCCCAGACACTGGGGAACTATGATCTGGTAGATATATTAGTAATGAATGACCTAGACGAGACGTTTGAGGCCTACAAAGGTCTCAAGGTGTTATGGAAAAACGAGAGAAAGTCATTTACAGTAGCATTCATGTTTACTGTCAACATTTATTCATCTATGTTAGGGTCTTCAAATTATGCCCTGTTGGCCAAATCAACCAGTCACCTGTTTTTGTTTTTTTTTTAGTTCTGTTGGCTGGACACAGTGGCTCACACCTGTAATTCCAGCTCTTTGAGAGTCAGAGGCGAGCAGATCACTTGAGTACAGGAGATCGAGACCAGCCTCGGCAGCATGGCAAAACCCTGTCTTTATAAAAAATACACAAAATTGGCTGAGCTTGTTGGTGTATGCCTATGGTCCCTGCTACTCAGGAGGCTGAGTAGGAGGATTGCCTGGACCTGGGAGGTTGAGTCTGCAGTAAGCCAGGATTATCCCATTGTACTCCAGCCTGGGTAACATAGTGAGACCCCATCTAAAAAAAAAAAAAAAAAATGTTTTGTTGAAACGCAGTCGTATTACTCTGTTTTGTGTTCTCTGTGATTGTTTGCATGCTATAATGGCAGAGTTGAGTAGTTGCAAGAGATCTTATGGCCTGCAAAGCTGAAAATATTTATGCACTGATTCTCTATAGAGCAGCGGTCACCAATTTTTTCGCACCAGGGACTGGTTTCATGAAAGAAAATTTTTCCCTGGGTTTCAGGGGGAGGGTTTTGGGATGATTCAAGTGCATTACATTTATTGTGCACTTTATTTCTGTTATTACTACATTGTAATATATAATTACATAATTATACAGCTCACCATAATGTGGAATCAGTGGAAGCCCTGAGCTTGTTTTCCTGCAACTACATGGTCCCATCTGGAGGTCATGGGAGACAGTGGCAGATCATTAGGCTAAATTCTCATAATAGATCCCTTTCATGTGCAGGTCACAATAGGGCTTGTGAACCTATGAGAATGTAATGCTACTGCGGATCTGAGGGGAGGTGGAGCTCAGGAGGCAATGTGAACGATGAGGAGTGGCTGTAAATTCAGAGGAAGCTTCGCTTGCTTGTCGGACACCTCCTGCTGTCTGATACCAAATGATATTGATTCATGGCCTAGGGGTTGGGGACCCCTGCTATATAAGTTTGTCAATGCCTGCTCTATACATGTTCATTGTTTGTTTACAGATTGCTGTCACTGTCCAAGGCATAGTGCTATGAACAAGGACAACATGTGCCTTAAATGAATTCACATTCTACTGGGGAACCAGATATTTTAGCAGGGTAAGAAACTTAGTAACTGAGGAAGGAGTGACTCTTTCGGTGATGAAAAGGTAAGGGGTTGAAAGGGAAGTCATGGGATTGACTGGAAAGATGGCCCGTGGCCCACAGAAGGACTTTATATGTTATGTCAGGGAACGTAAGACTGTTCAATTAACAGTGGAACATCATTGAGGGATTTGAATCAGAAGAGTAACATAATCAATTTACATTTGACAAACAAGTTATTTATTGAACAAAGAATAATCTGAAGTCACTCTGTATCTAGTGGCACTGGAGAAAAGTCTGGAGGCTGGCAGATTAGTTAAGAAGTGTTGGCCCAGTTATTGAACTATGCCAAGCTCTGCCCCAAATAATTTTTATGTAAGTATATTGATTAGCAAGTAAATCACACAGCAGCATTTCATTTGGAATAGAGCATAGAACACAATAAAGTAAACTAAAGCTAAAATTAATTAAATACACATATTTAGTTAGTTATGCTTACAGTGTGAGGATATATTAAATCAGAGAGAATCCATTCCTTGAAGAGGATTTAGTTGGGTCTTTTTCTGTTTAAACATGAAGATAAAGTTATTTTCAGTTGTCTTCTTAGAAGCAAACTCTCCCGTCTCTACCCAACTGTTTACGTTTCTTCTTTCATTTTTAATTTTTTTATTAAAGACCAAAAGGTTGGAGTGCAGTGGTATGATCATAGCTCATTACACCCTTGAACTCTTGGGCTCAGGTCATCCTCCTGCCTCAGGCCTCCTGAATACTTAGGGACTACAGGTGTGTGACACCACACCTGGCTAATTTTTTTATTTCTTGCATGTTGCCCAGGTTGGTCTCAAACTCCTGACCCCAAGCAATCCTCCCACCTCGGACTTCCAAAGTGTTAGGATTACAAGTGTGAGACACTGTGCCCAGACCACCTTTCTTCTTGATAAGAGATGAGAGAGACTTGATTGTTTGGTTTAGGTATCAGGTATCATGTGTTTCAGGACCATGGAGATGACATTTAGTCTAAGCCAGATAAGGTAACTCTATATTTTTTGTTTGTGGTTTAGAACGTGATGCACTTCTGGGAAATGTGCTGGGGGTTTCTGAGAAAAGTATCCCTACAGAAGAAGAGACATATGCAGAAGGAAACAGACCTTCTTCTTTGCAGGATTTGTTGTATCTGGGTGTGATGCCTGGAACTGTGGCAACCATGTTTTGATTATGGAGGACTAAGCTAATATGCTAAAATTACCAAAGCAAAGGGATGAGAAATACTTTTGGGTCCTTGATGGTACTGATGACCCAACAACCTAGGGTTATTACAGCCTAGAACTTCATTTTATTTTACATAGTAAATGTCTATATTGTTTAAGCTGGTTTTGGTTGGGTGTTCTCTTCATATTGTTGAGAGCATCCTGACATAGGTTCTCAGAGAAAACGATACATATGAGGTTCTAATCAATCAGTAAAAGGAATGAGCTGTATATGTTCTGTTTTGTTTCTGGAGCAGTGCTTTTCAAAACATTAATGTGCCTGTGAATCACCTGGGGATCTTGTTTAAATGCAGATTCAGATTCGGTAGGTAAGGCCTGAGATACTGCATTTCTAACAGTATCCCAGGAGATCTAAATGAGCTGGTGCAGAGTCCACACTTTTGAGTAGCAAACGTGTACTGCAGGCATCACTCATTAAACGCTGGGTAGAAGGGAACCTTCCAGAGACTGAAAAGATTTTAAATGGAGAGACAGGAGTCATGATAGGGTGTTAGAGTGATTCTGCTAATTTAAATAGGATAGCCCAATCTTATCCTTTATTAATAATTTCAGAAGAGGTCAGGGCCAGATGATAAAACCAGGCCAAGATTTTGGAGACTGGCTTTGTAGTGAAGAAGGAAGTAGAAAGTATCTTTCTTACTTATATGAGGGCCTCAGGAAAAAAACACAAATCTGCGGTTCTGGCAGAGCTTTCAGGTGAATTTTATAGGGCTTTGGCACTGAAAATCGTGAGATACTCCTATCTTTGCCACTAAAAGTAATTTAAAATAACAAAAATAATCTGTAAGGTAAGTATAAGGAAGTCCAACCAAATTCTGGTATTTTCCCCCATTATTACTATTTTGATGCTTTTTGGGGAAGTAATAAATACATCATTCAGCTGGGCATGGTGGCTTACACCTTTAATCTCAGCATTTTGGGAAGCGAAGGCAGGAGGAATGCTTGAGTCCAGGAACTGGAGACCAGCCTGGGCAATATAGTGAGACCTCATCTCTACCAAAAATAAACAAAATTAGCAGGGTGTTATGTTGCATGCCTTTGGTCCCAGCTACTTGGGAGGCTGAGGCTGGAGGATGGCTTGAACCCGGGAGGTTAAGGTTGCAGTGAGCCATATTCATACCACTGCACTCCAGGCTGGGCAACAGAGCAAGACCTGGTCTCAAATATATACATGCATGCATATATATATATATATATATATATATATATATATATACACACACACATAATCTTCCCAAAATGTTTTATTTGGGTGCAGTTGCTTGGCTAATTAATACCCTAAGCATGCATAAGAAAGCATTGAATAATGTCACTTCAGAGTATTCTTTTAACTTGAATTGTTCCCCAACAAAACAAAAAGATTTAAAGGATATGGGATGGGAAGATAACTTTGTAGAGTCCACTATAGGGCCCCTAGAAAGAGAGACTGATTCCTAGAAGTACATACCCTATGATGTTTCTTTGTAAACTAACTTAGCACTAATCAGCTACACAAAATCCATTTCACTTCGCTTTTAACCACTCCCCCAAAATAACAACAATAATAGGATTTTCATTCCAAGCTTGAGAATAACTATTGAGAGCATTAAAACTATGTACATACAAAAATTGCAACTGGATTCTGGTTCCTGTGATTAAGAAAGAATATGAAAATTCACTAAAGGTGTTCTGTAAGTTAACCAGGAGTAAAAAGAAAAAAAATTTAATTATTGTATAAAATATTTAAATTTAAAAAACTCACTAAAGGCACAAGGTGATCATTTACAGGAATCATATCCCCATCTCCATAGTGGAGAGCATCTTATTATTTTAAAACCAAATTATAGTATATTTAGTGTGGACCCAGGGACTGAAACAAATAATACAAAGGCAAAACTAGCTAGTTCTAAGTCAAAAACAGTTTTGCACAAAGAACAGAATTAATAGAGGAATCCCAAGAGTAAAAAGAATAAATCCTAGAATGATGATGAGAATCATAAGGGAGCCCTTGTATTAAGTGAAAAAAGCCCCTACCTGCCTTTCCCCTTTTCCTTGAGGTTCTAGATCAATAGCAGCTTGAATCATTGTTGACATATAAACTAGATTTTTAACATAAAGAGTAAGAAATTCTTTATTTTCTCTATAAACATATTCTGTGGGCAATCTAGTCTTTCAGTTTTGGTCAGTAAAATATATATTTTCTTACCCAACTAAAATGCTAAATCACTACAAATAACAATTATTTACAAATTAATACTATTTCAAAAAGTAAAACGACTTTATGAAATCTTTTTTTTTAAAGATAGGCAAGACCAACTTCAGCAGAGGCAGTAGTTCCACTAGTTAATCATTTCCTGGGCTTGCTTTCAAATTGAGGCTTTACTTATTAATAGCTGTATGACTTTGAGCAAGTCACTTAATTGTAGTGTTCTCATTGGCTTTTTAAAAAGGAGGGGTTCCAGCTATTCCAACCTGGGCAACACACCAAGTCCTTGTCTCAAACAAAACAAAACAAAACAAAAAGATGATACTATTGTATTAAGTTATATGCAATAATATATGACAGGGTTTAGTGCAGTGTCTGCCACTTGTAAATTCATGTATTCATTTCAAAAAGCAGTTATAGAAAATCTGACTGGCTAGATGCTGGGGATACAGGCATGAACAAAACATATATCCCTCCTGCCCTCAGAAAACATACAGTCTACTAGGCAAGGCAGTTAAAAGGTCAGTTGAAACCAACATAATATACATTACAAACTTTCAACGAAGCATTTAACTGGGAAATGTGAGGCTAATAAAAATATATTGAGTAGCTGCTAAAGGCTAACATTAAAAAATATGTATATATACTTAGGATTAATAGATGAGTAGAACCGCACATTTCAAAGCCCTTATTTACATTTTTTGATTATGAAACATCCTTGAAAATAATGAGGGAGTAACTTTGTTGGTATGACTGGGAAAACAAGTTGAGTCTTCCTGTTTCAGACAATAGAGCGTTGAGTTTAGTGAGTTAATATTGATATAATTAATGGACCTTATTTAAAATTCACCAGATGGATAAATTTGTGTGTGCTATTCTTTTGTGTGTGGGTTGGTATGTATATTAATTTTTAAATTTTATTTTATATTTTGTGGGGTGGTCCTAATGTTTATGCAATTTTATCTTGTGTGTAGATTTGTGTGACCACTGCTATAGTCAAGACACAGGACACTTCTACTACATGTTTCCCTTGAGCTACCCTTTCATAAAAGCAGACACCGCCCTTACTCTCCACCATCCCCAACCCCAGCGACTAATCATCTGTTTTCCATCTCTTATCATTTTGTCATTTTGAGAATGCTATGTAAATGTAATCATATTACTTGAAACCAAGAGTTCAAAATAAACTTGAACAACCAAGCAAGACCCTATCTCAAAAAAGAAAAAAAAAAATAGCCAGGTGTGGTGGTGAACACCCAGCTACTCACAGAGGCTGAGGCAGGAAAATCACTTGAGCCAGGAGCTCAAGACTGTACTGGGCCACTGTTACACCACTGCATTCCAGCTGGGGTGAAAGAGACCCTGTCTCTAAAAAAATAAAAATAAAAATAAAATAAATGCAATCATACAGTATGATGTAACCCTTTGAGATTGTCTTTTTTTTTCCCCACTCAGCATAATCCCCTTGAGATTCTTCTAAGACATTACATATATCAACAGTTCATTACTTTTTATTGCTGAGTAGTATTCCATGGTATGGATGTGCTAGTTTGTTTAACCATTCTTCTGCTGAAGGACATTTGGATTGTTTTCAGTTTCTGGCTTTTACAAATAAAGCTGCTATGAACTTTTATGTACAGGTTTTTGTGTGAACATGTCTTCATTTCACTGAGATAAATGTCTAAGAGTGCAATTGCTAGGTTGTACGGTAAGTGCATGTTCAGTTTTGTAAAAAAATAACTATACTCTTTGCACAACAGTTCCCAGTGACCTTGGACTGATCAAATTCTCCCCAGTTTCTGACTTGTATTAATAGTTCTCAAGAATAACTGTAGAATGTGCTAGGAATGCAATATCCTGAGATAAGGAGGGACTGGCTGAAATAGCCCAGGTTCTTTTCCAGTCCCTCCTAGAAACAGGATGCCCTTCATCATTTTAGCCCAGCATGTCATGTTGCCTCCAGAATATGAAACCCAAGATGGTCTGCTTTCCAGGGTCACTCAGCTGTGGTGCAAGTGGGGTACACACAAATGAGTCTCTATTCTCCAGGGGCAGCTTTCCTGAGTCTTGGAAGATGGCTCACAATGAATCCTATGCTTCTGTTGTTCCTTGTTGCCTAGCTATAGATAATAAATTCACTTCATATAACTTGTGCACGTGGGTGTTCTGTCTTGCCAGACTCAGCTGGTAACCAATGCATAGCAAGCCTGCTTTGCACCCTTTTCCAGAGTGGCTGCACCATGTTACATTCCCATCAGCAGTGTACAAATGTATGTAAGCAGTTTAAATGCTTAACCAACAGTTCTTCAGAATAACTAAACAAGCACGATGGTGCCTTTTACTTATTAATTCCTGGTGATTAGTCTCCTTCTGATAAAAACATTGCAAAACCTTCAGCTCAAATTGCTCTGTGGTTTGGGAAGATATCTATGGAAGAAACTCACTGCAAAGAAGTTAGGTCAAGAAAGTCCTAAGAAAAGTGTATAAGGCAAACATTTATTCTAAAGACAATGAAGAGTAGGAAAGAGAGCCAACATATATTGATCCAATATACCAGGCATTTTTCAGTCTTTAGCTCATTTATTCCTTCCAATCATCCTGTAAAATGGATAATATGTCCATTTTATAAATAATACGATTGCCAGGTTTTGTGACCCATCTCTGTAATCCCAGTACTTTGGGGGCCAAGGAAGAAGTATTGCTTGAGCTCAGGAGTTCAGACCAGTGTGGACAACATAGTGAGAACTCATCTCTATTAAAAATTTAAAAAATCATGTCTGGGCATTATGGTTCACACCTGTAATCTAGCACTTTGGGAGGCCAAAGCCAGTGGATCACCTGAGGTCAGGAGTTGGAGACTAGCCTGGCCAAAACGGTGAAACTCCATCTCTACTAAAAACACAAAAATTAGCTGGGTGTGGCAGTGCTCGCCTGTAATCCCAGCTACTCGGGAAGGTGAAGCAGGAGAACTGCTTGAACCCAGGAGGCAGAGGTTGCAGTGAGCCGAGATCAAGCCACTGCACTCCAGTCTGGGTGACAGAGATGAGACTCTGTCTCAAAAACAAAAATAAAAATAAAAATAAAAAAACATTAGCCAGGTGTGGTGGCACATGCCTGCTGTCCCAGCTACTTGAGGGGCTGAGGTGGGAGGATCACCTGAGGCCAGGAGATCAAGGCTGCAGTGAGTCATGATCACATCATTGCCCTCTAGCCTGGGTGACAGAGCCAGACTCTATCTCAAAAAAAAAAAAAAAAAAAAAAAAAAAAGAAAGAAAGAAAGAAAAGAAAAGAAAAAGAAACGTAAGAAATATTACAATTGAGACTTCACACAACTTTTCATACAGGTCATAGAGTTACTATGTGGTGAAGTGAGAATCAGGGGCCCATAATTCTAGTTTCTGCTGCCTTTAGCTCAGGGTAAAGAAACGTAAAAGGCAATTAACACATTTGTTGGAAAACAAAAAGAATAAATAAATAAATGAGTTAACTTCAGCGCTGCTATTTATGTGTCCCCAGGCAGGAAAATTAATTTGAGTCTATTTCTTCATTTCTTTCTTTTGTTTTGTTTGTTTGTTTTTAGACAGTCTCCCTCTGTCATCCAGGCTGGAGTGCAGTAGCGTGATCTTGACTCACTGCAACCTTCGTCTCTCAGGTTCAAGTGATTCTCTTGCCTCAGCCTCCCAAGTAGCTGGGACTACAGGCACCTGCCACTATGTCCAGCTAGTTTTTTGCGTGTATTTTTAGTAGAGATGGGGTTTCACCTGTTAGCTAGGATAATCTCGATCTCCTGACCTCGTGATTCACCCGCCTCGGCCTCCCGAAGTGCTGGGGTTACAGGTATGAGCCACTGCGCCCCACCTATGTCTTCATTTCTTATAGCAAGATAATAATGACATCTAGTTCACAGAGCTAGGGAACAAATAGGGTGACAAATTGGGAAAACAATTTGAAAAATGTTAAATAATAAATGTTAGCATAATATTTTAAAAGTACAGTCATAGTCGTAAACAAATACCAATAAAATAAAGGCATGAGATGTGGAGGGCGGGTGGTGAAGATCACTTAATATCTCTGATTTCCCAGTTTCCTCACCTGTAAGATCACAATTGAGTTTAAAGTTGAGCACCTTCATGACACAGACTCAGATTCACCAAGTTAGGAGACAGTCAAGCAAGCCTCTGCACATGATATTAATTTGAAAATGTTTATTCTACTTCCAAGGATATTGCAAAGTATGTAACTGATTATTTTTCTCCATGACATTTTGGTCTTTATCAATTAGGTCATTCAGACCTCTATCAATACATGTAATGAATTACAACATGTATAACTTGTGTGCATGTGTATATGAGAACAGTATTAGAAACAGTTAATACTATGAGAGATTATACATAACTTCTAAACACGAATCTTAGGAAAATAAACATTAGATAGAAAATCTGGAATTGGTATAGGAATGGGCAAGGAATTGGTATATTGTGTCTGGAGAGAAACATACTTGGCTAGGGACGGGGTAAAGAAATTATTCACATTTGGCCTGGCATGGTGGCTCATACCTGTAATCCCAGGACTATGGCAGGCCGAGGCAGGTGGATTACCTGTGTTCAGGGAGACTAGCCTGGGCAATATGTTGAAACCGTGTCTCTACTTTAGCGTTTTTAGATACAAAAAATTAGCCAGATGTGGTGGCACATGCCCTGTAATCCCAGCTACTTGGGATGCTGGGGCAGAAGAATCCCTTGAGCCTGGGAGATGGGGAGTTTGCAGTGAGCTGAGACTGTGCCACTGTACGCCAGCCTGGACAACAGAGTGTTACTGTCTCCAATTCACATTTGTAATCCTTTGCACTTTCTTTTTGAATTTTGAAACATGTGTTACTGCATAACTATTAATAGACACACATTTTAGAAAACTTTTATATAAAATGTTAACATAAAAAATTAGTATTCTTAAGCATTACCTTTATTTCAACTATTAATTTATGAAAATATGAAGACATTCCATTTTCAATGTGATTGTATACGTTTTTAACAGACTTTATGATCACTGGGTATATTTAACCCTTCAAATAAAGCAATCTTTCCCTTTTATCATTATTTTGTAAGACTCATATGCTGGGTGGTGGATCAAACTGAACAGAATAAGTTATTTCTTTTTTCTTTTTTTTTTTGAGGCAGAGTTTCACTCTCGTTACCCAGGCTGGAGTGCAATGGTGTGATCTCGGCTCACAGCAACCTCCGCCTCCTGGGTTCAGGCAATTCTCCTGCCTCAGCCTCCTGAGTAGCTGGGATTACAGGCACACGCCACCATGCCCAGCTAATTTTTTGTATTTTTAGTAAAGACAAGGTTTCACCATGTTGACCAGGATGGTCTTGATCTGTTGACCTCGTGATCCACCCGCCTCGGCCTCCCAAAGTGCTGGGATTACAGGCTTGAGCCACCGCGCCTGGCCGTTATTTCTTAAGAATAACTTCGTTATTTCCCAAGAGCCACCATTAGATGCTGGTAGGTGTCATTGTCTTCCCAAGACCAGGTGCTGGATAGAAGGTTCTTGCATTTCCCTCATCTGCTGCCATCCTGAGTAAGAGAGGATTTAGGACTTCTGCAAGCCTCTAAAGACTGGAAAGATGGGAATCGGCGCAGTGGCTCATGCCCCTAATCCCACCCCTTTGTGAGGCCGAGGCGGGCGGACCACCTGAGGCCAGGAGTTCGAGACCGGCCTGGCCAACATGAGGAAACCCTATCTCTACTAAAAATACAAAAACTAGCCGGGCGTGATGACGTGCACTTGTAACCCCAGCTACTCGGGAGGCCGAGGCAGGACAATCGCTTGAACCCGAGAGGCAGAGGTTGCAGTGAGCCGAGATGGCACCACTGCACTCCAGCCTGGCCGACAGAGAGGGGCAGGCTTGGGGAGGGGAAGACTGGAAAGATGATGGTGCCCACTCCCCACCCCCTTAAGTAATTAAAAATAGATACTCATTTAGGAAGCTAATTAAAACTTAAATTAGGGTGGATACAAGACGTTCCTTCTAGGCTTAAATAAAAATTCCGAATAAATTCATCAAAGCCAAACTTTTCCTTTTTGCCTTTCACCCCTTTGCTAGTGCATGGGCCTGCGTTCAGCCTCCAGCTCCACAATCCGGCACTCGCAGGGTCTTAAGTCCTACCCACACAGCGGAGCACAGGTGCTGGGTGTAACAGCCCCACCCCACCAAGCGGCTCCTCTGGCCCCGCCCCTGGAAGCGTCATCGTGACGTCAGCGCGCTGTCCTCGAAGCCTGCAGCAAATGAGCACAGACAGCACGGGCCCGCCGCATACCACGGCATACGCATGCGCGCTGGTTCTGGGAACTCTGAAGACCTGGCGGAGCCGGGCGCCGATGGAGGCCTGAGGGTGGCGGGGGCGGAGCGCGCAGCGAGCTGGGGGCATGTCCGCGGCGGGCGCCGTCTAGAGGAAGGCCAAGCTGCCGCCACCACGCTGTCGGTCGCAGCGAGACGCAAGCGAGCCAGGCCGAGGGCCGCGGCGGCGATGCAGCGACGGCGGCGCCCTCCGCCGCCAGCCTCCCGGCTGCCCTCGGGCAGCGGGGGAGGTGGCGGTGGGAGCGAGGAGGTGGAAGTGCAGTTTTCCGCCGGGCGTTGGGGCTCGGCCGCGGCGGTTTCGGCGGCGGCGGCCACGCGCAGCACCGAGGAGGAGGAGGAGAGGCTTGAGCGAGAGCACTTCTGGAAGATCATTAATGCCTTCCGCTACTACGGGTAAGGAAACCGTGGCGGACCCCGGCCCGGACCGTCAGGGCGCCCACTGGCGGCGGTGGACCCGCCGGAACGGGGGTGCTTGCCGTCCCGCCGCCACGCCTCGGAGGCGTCCGGATCCGGCCCCTGCTGCTGACCTCCGGGCCCCGAGTCACCTCGCACCATCCCAGCCCCTCCCGGCCTTACACACCCGCGTGTCCTCCGCGCCGTCTGCTGCTCAGCCTCGTGTCTTCTGACCTCAGGATCAGATTAGCTCTCCTGCCTCCGTCCTGGTAAAGGTTTGGCTTTGAGGCCGGTGGGGGTGACCGGAGAAGCGCTGTAACAATTTCAGATAGAAGACGATGGTGGTAGAATCGTCCACTGCTGGGCATGATTGGTGTGTGTTGTCGATGTCCTCCAGACTGAGCACACGGAGAGCCCAAGTTCACCTACGCGTGGGATGCTGTAGGATGTATTTTCCCAAACTGTTGCCAGTGCTTGTAAGAGCAATTTAAGATTTCCATCCACCCCCTCTTTGGCGCTGTGAACGCACTTGCACATTTGTGTGAGCGACTGACTGATGCCGCTCAGTGTCTTTTAACTGGTGGGTGATTAAGGACGGAAGTGGTCCGGATATTCTAAAATTTGCTAATTATTAGGAGAGAAATGAGAGAAGTCATAATAAGAGCTGCCTTTATGTCCTTTTTTTTTTTTTTCTGCAAATCTGTGTCGAATTCTCCCTGGTGTGCTAGACACTGTGGTAGGACCTTTAAGTTTGCTCCTCATCCATAAAAGCAACTTCCACGTTTCTTCTAGATAGATGTTAAAGTAGCTTAATCACAAAATTATAATTCCAAGATCTGAAAGGGACTTAAATCAACTGGATTTTCAGGTGAAGATAACACTTTTATTCACGTAAGAGATATGAGAGTCCACCGGTGACTATGTTATAAGTCTGCAATTGGAATCAGACAGACATGACTTCTTACGCAGGTAAACCTGTTCCCTTAGGTGGGTTCCTGCAGTGCTTTATGCAAACTTTTTTTTTATAGTGTTCATCTCATGTGCTATAGTTGTTTAAATCTCTTGCTTTACTGTGACCTCCTCAAGGACAGGGACTGAGTCTTACTTATTTTTATGTCACCAGTGCTTGGCATATGTTGTTTAAGCTCTGTTTTTAACAAACAAGATGAATAGTAGCAAAGACATACATTTCTCATTCCCAAATAGTCTGTCAAGTTTTTGACTAATAGTTGAATTAGTTTACTAGTCTGAATTTAGAAGCTTACTTAATGAAAACTTAGAGTTTTTTGGAATCTGATTGTATTTGTGATAGGAACTTTTGAGCTTCCATTATCTTGATGAAATAATTTACTGATGAAACCCAGAAATAGGGACCAGGGACAGCATTTGTTATGCAGCCCAAAAGAGAATTAGTAGTTTGGATATTTTATTTCTCCGGCTTTAGTAGTAACAGAGGGAGCAAGGCAGACCATCAGAAAATTGAATTTGATGCAGGAATTGTGACTGAAAGAACCAGTTAGGGAAGGCAACTAACATCAAATAGCTAAGAGTGGGAGATACAGAAAAGTCTAGTACATTTTGCTCTTGAAAAATCTAGAAAGAATATTGAGAAATGTCTTGGGAATATAGTGGACCCATTTAGTTAAGTGTTAGTTGTACTTTTAATATATTAGGACCGATTTAAAATTGATATTTATGGGTAGGTATGAGATGGGCCTGTTAGGGGTAGGAGTTGATCTGGAACTGAAGTGTGGCAATATAGAGAAGAGTTCTTGTGTGAATAGTCTAGTGGTTGTGATACTATTTTCTATACTTTCTTCTTTACCAGTGTAATGTTGGATTCAGGAAATTTCACTTAAAAAAATAGTTATTTGTATATACTTTCTTGAAATACTTCAGATACTTAGACTGAAAATAGTATAACATCAAAAATATGCTTTTTAAAATGTCACTTAAAGGATAGGTTGTACAGAAAGCTTATATAGCAGAAAATAGTGGATTGTTACATTCTAATGTTTTGTGATCTTCTAGACTTAAACTGTCTATAGCCACTAATATCAGGATAAATTTAAGTTAAAATTAGTTATAATTTAATAAGTTTTAAAATGTAGTTGCTCAGTTTCACTACCCACATTTCAGGTGCTCAGTAGCTACATGTGGCTAGTGTCTGCTGCATTGAACGGTGCAAATAAAAGCCTTTCCATTATAGAAGTAGGTTGTGACAGACAATCTGGTTATAGACATTTAGCAAGTACAGTCAGCCCTTGAACAATATGGGTCTGAACTGTATGGGTCCACTTACACACAAATTTTTTGAAATAAATATATTGGAAAATTGTTTTGAGATTTGCAAGTTTGAAAAACTTAGCAAACTTGCATAACCTAGAAATATTGAAAAATTAAGAAAAAGTTATGCCATAAATGCATATGTGTAGATATTAGTTTATCATTTGCTACCATAAAATATACAGAAATCAATTATAAAAAGTTAAAATATCAAAACTTACACAAACAGATCTTACATGGAGCTATTTGCAATTGAGAGAAATGTAAACAAGCAAAGATATAGCATTAAGTCATAGTTGTGTAAAATTATGTAGTGGATACTGTACTACTGTAATAATTTTGTAGCCACCTCCTGTTGCTATTGCAGTGAGCTCAAATGTTGCCAATATCTGCTTAACATAATCACTCTGCTTTTGTCTGTCAGGTAAATTGCATACTGCAGTAAGCAGATTTCATCAAATTTAATGCAATACCATAAACCTTAAATAACACCATGGGTCCTATATGAAGTGCTACTGGTGATGCTGCAAGTGCTCCCAAGAAGAAGAGAAAAGTCAAGACAGAAAAAGTTGATTTGTTTGATATGTACCGTAGATAGAGGTCTGCAGCCAAGGTTGCTCTGCAGCCAAGGTTGCCCCGCAACCCCATTTCAGACGGAAGATTCATCTTGTAATCCAATAATGTGAACTTACAGTATTGATAAATACAGTGCAGTAGAGTACTGTAAATGTATTTTCTCTTTCTTGCGACTTTGTTTTCTCCAGCTTTATTGTAAGAATATAGTACATAATATATTAACATACAAAATATCTGTCAATTGTTTATGTTATTGGTAAGGCTTTCAGTCAGTAAAGTAGGCTATTAGTAGTTAAGTTTTTGGAGAATCAAAGTTACATGTGTGTTTTCTACTGCACAGGGGATTGGTGCCCCTAACCGGAACATCGTTCAAGGGTCAAGTGTATTTCTAGATTTTGCAGGGTACGGTTTTACTGCTAAATGCCTTTTAGTTAATATGTAGGAGACTTAGATAAATGGTCATAAAGCAAGGACTGTCTTTTCATTAATATTTTATCTTTCTAATGGGTTCCAGTTTTGTGGTTCCTACAGATTTTGCTTAGATGACATTCTGATTAAGGTAAAAATGAGTATAGCTCGTTTGTATTGAATAGCAAAAATGTTAGTTTTATAACCCATTAGTTTTTTGTTTTGTTTTGTTTTTTTGAGATGGAGTTTCGCTGTTGTTACCGAGACTGGAGTGCAATGGCACGATCTCAGCTCACCGCAACCTCCGCCTCCTGGGTTCAAGCTATTCTCCTGCCTCAGCCTCCTGAGTAGCTGGGACTACAGGTGTGCACCACCATGCCCTGCTAATTTTTGTATTTTTAGTAGAGAAGGGGTTTCACCTTGTTGAGCAGGATGGTCTCGATCTCTTGGCCTTGTGATCCACCCGCCTCAGCCTCCCAAAGTGCTGGAATTATAGGTGTGAGCCACCGCACCCGGCCTTATAACCCATTCATTTTATAACCCAGTCTTACTATGAGTGAAACACCTCAGTACATAGAAAATATTAGAGTTGAAAAATTGAAAGACTTTTCAGAAACTTCTTACTTTTAGAGATAACAGGGTGAGATTATTTTAGGATGGGCGTGGTTGCTCACACTTGTAATCCCAGCACTTTGCGAGGCTGAGGAGGGCGGATTGCCTGAGGTCAGGAGTTCCATACCAGCCTGGCCAATATGGTGAAACCCCGTCTCTGCTAAAACTGCAAAAGTTAGCCGGGCTTGCTGGCACATGCCTGTAATCCCAGCTACTTGGGAGGCTGAGGTTGCAGTGAGCTGACATCGTGCCACTGCTCTCCAGCCTGGGCAACAGAGCAAGACTCTTGTCTCAAAAAAAAAAAAAAAAGAAAAGAAAAAGAAATAACAAGGTGAGATTTTTTAATATTGAGATTTAGAGCTCATTTTTACAGGTGAAGATGTGGATATACACAAAGCAGTAAGCAACTTCCTAAGGCTTACACAATCAAGCTGTGGCAGAATCTGACCTAAAATCCAAAATAATTACCTAAAATTTTCCTGTGGATTAATGAGGAGTTATACTAGTAATACAAATTTAATGTTAGGTGTTTAATAAAGATTTAAAATGAATCAAGACAGACTTTATTTCTGACAAGTTATGTTTTTTTCAATTTGGATTTCCTAGAGTAGTTCAACTAAGTGCAGAGGAATGGGCCTGTGACTATGGCCTTTAGTTCACCCTGATGACAGGTGACTAAATCAGAGTTGAAGTCACTGCTGACCTCAGAGAGAGTAGGAGGTAGAGATACTGTTGAGGAAAAATGGTTACTAAGTTTACTTTCTTCCCTCATCAGCAAGAGGATGTGGCCTCCTGATGCTGACTTAGTTCAGAACCAAGGAGGTCTGATTTTTGTCAAATATTCCTTCAAAGCAGATTTGGCAGTTTCTTAAAAGGGCCGGGCAGTAAATGTTTTAGGCTCTGAAGGCCAAGTGGTCTCTTGTTACAACTATTCAACTCTGCCCTTTAGTGGAAGGGACCTTAGGCTGTTTGTAATCACTAGTAGAGATGGGGTTTCACCTTGTCATCCAGGCTGGTCTTGAATTCCTGACCTCAGGCAATCCACCCGCCTCGGCCTCCCAAAGTGCTGGGATTACAGGCGTGAGCCACTTCGCCAGGCCAGATCCCATCTATTTTAA